ATCAGAACGGCTGAATGATCCCGGTTAGTGCGAGCTCAACGCAGAATTTTCTCATACTGAGCAACAAGACCGCCATCGTTATTTATTCTCCCTTGGAAAGGCTCTCTCCGATGTCAGTCGATCGGGATGACCGTTCTGCAAGTATGTAATACTTTCCTACTTTATCGCGGCTCAACATACCCTACTCGTCTCACCCCGCCTCTTTGACCCGTCCGTATGTTTGATATGATACCAGTCGGTGAAGAGGGGCTTCTGCGAGCCATTTCTGCACGTCTCACGACAACGTGCTCCAGCTCCAGCTTCACATTTTCCGGCACTCGCAAAGCATGTCCTCCGCATCGTGACTTGAGTGACCCAACAACTCTCAGGTCCATGTGCAAAATTATGTTATCACAGCATCAATGACGGCCAAAGATCCCAATGCCGTGCATTTTTTGTTTAGTTTCAATCCACCCATTCGGCACGATCCTTGTGACAAAGGGGAACAGCCTCCATGCGCTCGGTTGATCAAAATCGCTTGAATTACTAAGAAGGACTTCTCGTTGAGCTCGTGGACCGAGCTCTCTGCTCTGATGCCTCCCACGGCCACCCCCGCTCAGCGTAGGAAGCACACGGTAACCGGTAGTTCAAAAGTCATGCTCGCAGCCAAGTTCTACTCAAATCAGCCGTACCTGTGCAAGGAGTCCAAATCGGGAGAAATTCCGCCAGGCACGGAGCTAGAATCCTCGCCGGCTAGCCTACCTATGTACACACGTCATTCCGAACAGTTTACATAACGCAACAGGCTGCCAAGTAAGGCAAAAGAGGCAGGATGGCGACTCCGGCAGACACGCCGCCAAACAACGCCGACGCAACATTGACATGCATGCTCCTGGCAGCCAGCTTCGCCATCTGCTGCGCCATGAGGTCCTTCTTCCACCGGCGTTCCTGCTCGAGAAGACTGTTCGCCGACGACCCCGTAGACTCGTCGCTCGTCCGCCGCGAGTAGGCCGGTGGCGGAGTGCCAGTTGAAGACGGGGACAAAGTGCTGGAAGACCGCTTGAATAAGTCTTCGATGGTCTTCTGACACTTGACGATCTGTTGCTGGAGCAGTTCCACGTCACGAGTGTTCCTCGACACCCAGCGGTTCTCGAGCTCTTTTTTGGGAAGGTGCAGCTCGCTGAGCGCGGCCCGGCCCTGGCTGATGGAGGATTTGAGCCTCGCCATCTCAGCGACGAGGGTTGCATCGGATTGCTGCTGGCTCTCCTTCATTGCTTCCTTGGCATAGCCGAGCTCCTGTTGAAAGCGATCAATGTCCTTCTCCCAGAGCAGCTGGGCCTCGCGACCGGCGGTGGTATCATGCAGCGTGGCACCGGGCTTCGCGAGCTCCTTCTGGATGAGCAATTCGTACTTGACCCCTCGATCTATGATGCCGTCGATGATATTGATGGCAGTCTTATACCCCTGGTCGTGTCTTCGGACAGAGCTTTTGGGGGATGTATGGACAAGCTGGCCCCATTTGTTCATGTCTCCGATGAGCTGGGCCTCGCGGACCTTGCCTGCCTCTCGGTCCACTTGGTCCCAGAATGTGGTGGTCAGGACAATGGCATCATAGTTTTCGGGGCCGCAGATGGTACGAAGCATATTCAAGCTTCGGCGCGTGGAACCACTCCATCGAACGTCCGCGATGGAGTGGAGGTAGACGATGCCGTTGAGGCGGAACCTGTCTTCCAGTTTTGCGTCGGCCTTGCCATATGCTGTCGACAGCCAGTACGCAACTTCTTGAAGCACCTCCGATTCGGAGCGCGTGGTGTCGTTGAAGCCGGGTGTGTCGATGAGATGGACAGTCTTGGACTTGTGACGAAATGAGAAGATCGATACCGAGGACGTGCCTGGGCATTACATTTAGCGAGCCGGACGTTTGACGCATTGAAGGGCGTCTCACAAGATTCAAGTTTGTGGCCAATCTGGATCTCCTTTTGAGTGCACAGGGTCACGAAGGTAGATTTACCCACACCTGTAAGGCCCATGACCGCGATGAAAACATCTTGGGGACTGAGTGTGATTGTCAGAGCATTCCAATCGGCCATCTCCAGCCTGCTTCTACTTACTTCAAAATTTGGGCCGAGTCTACCAATGCTGGTTCTGTGTCCATCCTGGGAATCGTTGTACTGGTGTTCGCTCGAGCCAAGTTATTGTTGGAGAACGTCTCGTGTGTGCAGTCCGCTTCTGCAATCTGGCGTAGCGTGAACAAGTCCGGTCGGTGACAATACTCGCTGGGACGAGATGGCCAATTTGATCACCAAGCAAACAAGGTGCAGAGTGCGTGGCAGATAGAAATCAAAGCATAAGGCTGGCCCCCAATTCCGGAGATCTTGGATGTGGGCTGCGATACGGCATTTGTCGAGGCCTGATTAGTTGGACTCTTTTCTACGGCGCTCTACGGACTAATTGTCGGATAACAAAAGGTACCTACCAAGATGTTTGTATGGCTCTGCATCCAGCCTCATTATTTTACGTAAAGAGAGGTCGCCATTCCACTCATTGTAAGAGGAGCTTGGAAAGCCTAGTGCACGTTTCTGTCGAACGGGCTCGCTTGAGGCTGCCCGGTCTGCCTAAGGCTTGATCGATGGAACCTGCACTTGACCGGTTCTTGACTTCCCGGCCCTCTATGCTCTCATCATGGGGACCTATCACATAAAATTTGCCCCACACCTTTGTGAGGCTCTGCGCATGCGAGAAGGACGGGACTGAGGTTTCCTAGGGCAGGCCTGAGGTCTCGACCGGGCCACGAGCGCCCCTTTGCGGCCCCCCGAGGCGCCCGCTAAGAAATTATTTGATGCCTGATCTGCAAGTCTCAGGCTCCCGCTGCGCCCGGCCCTGCGTCGTTCAGCCGCACCTGGTTGACCTGGCTTGCATGGCTCAGCGGCACTGTTGCGTGCCGAGCTGCAGGAAGGCGTGCAGAGTGCGCGTCCTTTACTGCAGCCACGTTTTCGTGTCCCTAAAGCAGCGAGGGCCAGAGGGAGCACTATGGAGTGAAATCGTTCATTCTGAAGTTGACTGTCGTGGCCATGCTGGGGACATCTGGGACATCCGTAGTGAGATTGAATCAAGCTTTACAGTTTCGAGCAGCTGCACAGAACCGTGACTCTGCTCAAACGGGCTCATGGATAACAAGTCAATAGCACGTCAAGCAGCTACCACTGCATATCGGGACTCGGGCTCTGCACAGCAAGCCAGGCCTCGCGAAGATCGACCCCGAGATGGTCAAAGACCAGCCTCGAGTCATGGTATTTGGGTTGATTCTGCGAGGGTATATGTAGCAAACCGGCCGAGCAGCCTGGAGCAACCTAAGTATGGCGCCGAAGTCTGGAGCGATGCAGCAATGATGCGACAACCAACGGCCACGGCGGACAGGCAGATGATACCAAGTGCCCAGCGCAAACCTGAGCCGCCGCCGGTGCCGTCCAGATCGTCAAAGCCAGAGACAAATGCCCGACCGGAATCTTTTGTGGTGGTTGAAGATGACGATAAGCCCGAGAGCCTCCCTGACGAGGATGCCTTCAACCCAGCTGACCCGCTGTTTGTTATCATGGGGGTTACTGGAGCTGGGAAGAGCACTTTTCTCTCTCTCTTGTCAGAGGATGACGTTGAAGTTGGACATGGGCTTCAGTCGAGTAAGACGGTTTCCATTTCGATTATACGGACCGCTTGCTAATGCAATGTACCAAGAGACCAAAAATGTCACGGCCCACAGGTTTCGGTGCGCCGACGGGCGTAAGGCATGGCTCGTCGACACGCCAGGATTCGACGACACCGGGCGACAGAACATTGAGATCCTGGAAGAATTCATCGTGTCTTTGACCAAGCTTTACGAACGTGGCGGTAAGGTCTCGGGGATGATATATCTGCACCGTATCACAGATCCGAGGATGGGGGGTTCAGCGTTGAAGACTCTGGAGATCTTCAAGCTCTTGACAGGCGCCTCGGCGATGCCCATTGTTCGTCTTGTGACGACTCGCTGGAATGAGTTCGATATGATCGGCCCAGACTTGGACAAGGCCTACCGACTCGAAGACCAGTTGCGGACGACGGATAAGTTTTGGGCGACGCTGATCCGCAACGGTGCGATCACACATCGCCATTTTGGGAGTCGGGATTCGGCGCAGGAAGTGATCTCGTCCTTGCTCGCGAGGCAGGACCCACCTCCCAGGCTTGCGATCGTGATGGAGATTTTGGATGAGAAGCGATCATTGCTCGACACTGCAGCGGGGCGCTTTATCGCTGATGACCATGATAAACTCCGAAAGCACTACGAAAACGAGGTCGAGAAGTTGCAGAGAGAGCGCCAACAAGCCTTACTGGACAAAGACCACGAACTGGCTGAAGCCTTGGCCGCCGAGGAAATGGAATATCAGCGCCGAAAAGAAACCATGCTCATTGCGAAATCGCAGCTCAATGTCAATCTTGAACGTCTCCATGACCAGGTCCATGAGCGGAATCTCCGAGGTGGCGCTAGGTCTTCTTCAGGCGACGAGAGCTCTGTGGCGCTGAGATCTGAGAATCAGCTGTTGCATTCTGAACGGACTCATTTGGAAGAGAAACTCGTCAAAGCCGAACGAAAGCACCAAGTCGAGATGGCAAGATTGCAGGAAATCATGGTACAACAGAATCAGCAACAGCGTGCTGAGAGCCGGCGGGCCATCCAACAAATGATAAACCGTTACGAAGACGAAAGTCACGAGCTGAGGGGCGAGCTACATCGTCTGAAAAAGAAGAACAAACAGTTAAAGAGAAGGCGTGGTCCTAGCCTCTTTGATATATTGATGGGATAGATCTATCAAGAAGCAGCGATTCCGATGGTTGTCTCTAATATATCAACTCAGCAGAATCCCAATGAACGTTTGAGTTACAGCACGAGTTTTCATAGGGGGATGTAAGTGGCTCCACGGACACCGATTTCCACACCTGATGCAGTGATATCGCCTGTCATTATCGCAGTGGCAACAGTCTAGATGATATTAGCTCAGTCCAAAGGGGTCGGGTGGGATGTGCTCACGATAACACCATTTACCACCTTCAACGAGATCAAGACGCGTGTTGCAGTTGCTACAGCGAACTCTTTTTGTGTCAAAGTTCTTGCAAACATAGGAAGAGAGCTGTCGGAGCCGGGCCGCCTCCTCCTGGCGCTGTCGGAGAACTTGAGCGGCCGTCTCTAATCTTTGACGCATTTCTCGCTCTTCCGCCTCCCGCTGCATCTTCTGAAGGAGATCTTGTCTAGCTTCACTCTCCCGTCTCGCTTCGTCCTTTTCTCTCGCTTCTCGTTCAAGTCTTTCCATTTCGCGACGACGCTGCTGTTCAAGTCGACGTTGCTCTTTCCGGTGCTCTGCACGACGTCGACGGTCGGCCTCATCAAGCATGCCCTGCTGCTTTCGCCTCTCATCGACCACTTTGGCTTCGTACTCTTGTTTGAGACGCTCAAGGCCAAGATTCATAGCCCTGCCGGCGCTTGTCTCATGTGCTTCCTGGCCACGGCGCATTTCTTGCTGAGCCTGGACCAAAAACTTGTCGTTCTTTCGAGCGATGTGTGACAAAATCTGTAGGTATGCCGTGCGGTCTTGCCTCAGTCGGAAAGCCCTGGATCCTTTCTCGGCCATTGGCTTCCAGAATTTTGGGTCCTCAAGAAGCTGCGCCTCACGCCGCTGGCCCAGCTCACCGTCGACAGCCGCCCAGAAAGTTGTGGCCAGGACGACTTTGTGCAAGTTGTCGCTTCCGCAAAGTTCTCTGAATAGACGCATATTAGAACGCGCTGTCCCAGTTATCCTTGGGTCAATAATGCGGTGTAGATAGATCAATCCATTCAAGAGCAAGCCTTCCCCCATGGATGACTTCAACCATGACAGAATCTCCTGCACAACATCGTTGTCCAGTCCGCTGCTGTCGTCAAATCCTGGAGTGTCGACGAGAAGAAAGTTTGTCCCTTCGTGGGCGAGGTTGTAGCATTGGACCTTGGAAGTAGCTATATCATTAGCAGGCAGGGTCCGCAGGCCAGTCAGCGAAACCATTCACCTGATGTCAATCCATGGCCAATGACAATATCTTCGGCGCCAGTAAGAGCTTTGATGAACGAGCTCTTACCAACTCCCGTTGGTCCCATGACTGCAATAACAACATTGTTCTTTCGCAGAGGTAGTGGCGGAGGCAGGCCGATCCCGTCGCCTAGTGAGAACTCATCGCTGCATCTCAGAGTCTTCATTGCAGATTTCCAAATTAGTCTCGCGAGATGTTGTGCAATCGCTTTGAGTGCCAAGCATAGCGCGCAGAGAAAGAACACGCACAACGCTACTTCACAAAAAATAACGGTCGACGTTACAACACCCGATGATCGAAAGCATGCAACCAAGAGCAAGGCACAGATCGCAATGTACTCGATTGCCGACAGCATCCTGGGGTTGGGAGTAAAAGAGAGGGAACTCGTCCGCCGTGGTGGAAAACTTCGGCGCGGGAGCCAACAGCGACACCAGGGCCAGGCGCGAAGGTGGATTCTCGCAGTGCTAAGTCGTGTCCCAGTGCCCACGTTTTCCGGGCATCTTGGACACTCAGGTTGGGAGAGGGTCGAGATCGGAAGCTGGCGCCTGCTCGGACAGGGTCTGGTCAGTCATTGCCGCTTTAGGGCCCACATTCACGAGGTACCCCCAGCTGCTCCACGACTTGGCTCCGTCTCCTACCCAGGTTTTGGCTCGCTCGAACTCAGAAGGCCGGTGGCAGTGCATAAACGAGACAAACATCATGCACGGCCCCCAGTCCAGAGCCTCGAAAAAGGCAAACGCAGCCATGCATGTCCCGTCTTTGTCAAGCCATTGTTGAGAACACGCGAGGAAAGTCGGGTGAGTGAGGCTCTCGGCAGCCGCGGTGGAGGGTAATATGGCCCGCCCATCGTCGAAGCCTGATTTCCAAAGCCTGATTCCAAAGAAAGATTCGACCGTACCCGGGGTTTTGCGACACAACTTCTTCAGTCCTGACCATCTCATCGCCGTCGAGTAAACCAGTACTTGCGAAGATGGCTGTGACCCTAACGTAAGTGCGCACTCTAGGTGGCTCCAATGCGCAGCGGCTGACCGTATACGCAAGCCCCGATGACAAAGTCATCGCCCTGATGGGAATGACTGGAGTTGGAAAGAGCTCTTTCATTCAGTTGTTCACACCCGACACGGTTGGAGTCGGTGATGACCTAGAATCATGTAAGCAAGTTTGAAGAGCAAGACTTATACCCGGCCTCACTGACCTCCCAAAGTCACCACTCAAGTGGCCATCTTCCCATGCAAGATGCCGAACAGCGATGAGTCATTCTACCTCGTCGACACGCCCGGGTTTGATGATAGCAATCGGCCAGACCAAGAGATACTTCGCGAGCTTTCAAGCTGGCTTACCAAGACATATTCGGAAAATATCCGACTTTCCGGAATCATCTACTTGCACAGAATCATAGATGTAAGGTTCAGCGGCGCTGCGATGCGCAACCTATCCATGTTCAAAAAGCTCTGTGGCGATGGCAACCTGGCCTCGGTCGTGCTCGCCACCACTTTCTGGGCCAAAGTAGATGAGAAAACAGGACGAGAACGAGAAGATCAACTCAAGACAACGCCTGCTTTCTGGGGCAACATGGTCAACCGTGGCAGTCAGGTTTTCCGACATGATTTCGAGGAGCAGTCGGGCAGCTCCATTATCCAGTATCTCCTGGACCGTCGAGATAAACCAGTGTATGCCATTCAAGATGAGATGGTCAACAAGAAAAAGACCCTTGAAGAGACTGCAGCCGGGTCTGAAGTGCAGGCCGAAATGGACAAGATGCGTCGGAAGTATGAGCAGATGATTATCGACATCAAGCAGGAGATGCAGGAACACCTCAAGAACCGTGACGAGGCTGCCCGGCAGGCGCTCGAGGCCGAAAGGAAGGAGCGCGAAGAGTTTATCAGGAGAGAACTCGAAGAGAGGAAGAAGATGCAAGCGCAAGCAGATGCCCTCTGGGATCAACGCGAGGCGGAGCGGGAGAAGGAGCGGCAGGAGCACATGAGGCGTCTGGAGACTATGCAGAAGCAATATCTGGAGATGCAACTGCAAGCAGCCAAGGCCAAAACAGATGCCGAACACCAGCGCCGACTGGCCGAGTTGCAGAAACAGATTGAGATTGCACAGGTGAAGAATGAAGCACTCGAGCGGTCGAGATTTTCGGTCAGGGCTAAATCGTTCATCAGGGAGTTTGTAGGCTTTTTCCGGTGATCGAGATATATATGATACAGGCAGGCCAATAAGACATTCTGAGCCGAGCACGAGGGATGGCAGACAGCTGAGCGAAGAGAGTTGCGAAAGTAGAGATATCGATAGATGGATCTTGGACAGTTTTGCCTTGCGAGTTTTTGATGCCTGGAGGCGCTGTGAAAGCTGACGCCGAGAAGTGCCTGGGAGCTCCTTGTGCCTCATATTGTGGCGAATTGGAAATGAACATGGACAACCTCGCAGCAGACCGGGTGATCGTCAACTCCAAGTGCGAGGGAGATTAAGTGTATCTGTATTGTCTTGCATGTTCAGGGGTGAATACACATCGTGGTAAGGAAAGCCTCCATTCTCTGGGGGTATGGAACGGGACTGTGTCGGGTGCGTTGGCCATGGCGGGGGAAGTGCGGCTGATATCTGGTTCGAGGACAGCTCAATAGAGAATTGTCCCTCCTGACAATAATAGGAAACTTGTACACTGTGAAATGAGCCGAGTCTTGCGCTCAGAGTCCCCAAGGATGATTGATTGAAGGGTGCCTCCTCCAGGCGACAATTAACAAGTACACAAATGAGCGGCTCGAAGGAACTCTTTGGGCTAGAATAATTTGCCGCTTTTATCGATGCACGAGTCATGCCGCACTGTTGCTAAAGCAGCAATGGCCTTACGCGAGGGCGCTGCTCTAGGAAGACTCCGCTTTTGTATATACGAGCACCCCCGTCATGTCTCTTCGGACGACAGAGCAATCGAAGGGCTGGGTCCGGAGACGGCCCACGGCGGTACGCAGCGCGCAGCGCCATACCCAGTTTGAGTGCAGACGAGCAGCATTACAGCAAACAAATGGATCCTGGCACGGGCTCCATGGTCTTTGCAGGATCTAGTCTACGGGCTCGAATCTCTATTGCTAGATGATGGCTGACTCGAGCCGGGATGAAGCAGCTCGACGTACGCTATGCATAGCCTCCGCAAATGTCGCAGCAGCTTGCTGACGAGCCTGCTCCATGGCGTTAACCTGTCAAGAATTGTTCTCGATGACGGTGCTTTCCGAGGCGGGCGGTCTCTGAAGGCTACGTACAGATCCTACACGCACACCACCTCCCGTCCAGACGAAGCGAATCTCAATCTTAGTTCGAAGGCAAGAAAGCCTAACGTAGGCTTGGCAGAGGAAACACACAGATAGACGCTTCTCTGAGCGATGGGTTGTTTCATTTGCGCCCTGTAGCTCGCTCCCCTGATCAGCTGAATATAAGCCGCCATTAACCGTGGCGTTCGAGCCGATGGGGTTAGGGAATCCTGGATATAGATCAAGAGGGGAGCCAAAAGCAGGCATCGCGAAGAATGATTTCGTGCTTGCGAAAAAAGCCTTGAGAGGGAGCAGGTTAGCGAGTGCAAAGTCTTGCCGTGACAAGTAATCTTCAAAATTGCAAGAGCGAAGACAGAACGGGCTAGGTACAGAATGGCAACAGCCTTGGAGGTGCGCTCAGGGAGAGCCTTGATAGTACTTCCCGTTGGCCATCCTGATGAGTATGGGAATCAGACGCGACGAACATCGTCAGGGAGAGCAGAGTTGCGCAGACTACATAACAGACAAAAACATCCAAAGCCGCGATCGCTGCTCTCCATCGGCTCAATTGGAGAGCTCTCTCTCATTGTGTTTTCACCTCGAATCAAACCAAGATGAAATAAAACCAGTGATTGCCAACAAACTCACCGACATCTCGATCGTCCTGCCTATTTCCTGTTTCCTCATCCGATGCTCATCTGTTCAGCAGTAAAATCTTTACATTCGGCCTCAGACAGTGCGGGTCTTCCTCGAAGTAAGTGATGTCTTCAACCTCGATCCGTAGCCGAAACTGATATGATGTAGATCTGGGTACAGTAAGTTCACGATGTCGTGGTTACTGCCAACGTGATGAACGCATGGCTGCAGACATTGGGCATTGCACCGATGAGCGCCATTCAAACATGATGCCTTTAAGCTCAACATCAACGCATCTGCTTCTGCTCTCGGCAAGAAAGGAAGGTGACAAAGACCTTGAAACAATCGGGGAAATATTTGGCCACATCCAAGTACCCAGAAGAACGCTGTCGAAGATGCGAGGAGTATTGGGGGTTCGAGACGGGCAGGACGGACGCATGAAAGAGCGACAAGGATGGGCACTCCGCCAAACCCAACCGCACTGGTTCGCAGAGTAGCAAGTCCGGCAGATATAATCGGAAATGGTCTGAAGGAAGAGGTGTCAGCTAAGCAGTAGTTGGCATATCCCATCAAATCATTAGATCGTCAGATACTCCATAGATCAATCATCACGACAATAGCTTACTGCGGCAAAGTGCACGCTGGGGGTGATTCGTGGCTGAATGCAGGAATAACCAACGTGACCACCCTTCGGTGTGAGACGGACAGCCTCGTGTCGATGAATTGAGGGAGGACAAGCAAGAGGCTGAAAGGGCCCGAGATGGAACCGTGGAACAGTATCATCCGAAGCAACATCCGATGGAGTCCGCGGAGGCCGAGTCCGTATCAACATCCATCATATTAATATCAGGGTTGCATATCTCGGAAAGGAAGTGAGGGCGATACGAGATCACGTGGTTTCCACCTTCCTTATGCACGCTAATAATTGAATAACTTCGGCACCGGAACAAACGACTGGGCACAACGGCAAGCACAAGACATGTTACAGCCAAACAGAATAAGGAGGCGCTTTGGGGGTTCCCGGTGTGGGGATGGTTCCTTCCGGGCATCTGGCTGCCTGCTGCAGTTCTGCGGAGCCCGGATGGAGCCTGTCTCGAATTAGGTACTCGGTAGGTACAGTTGGTGCCTGGAATGCCTGGAACAGCCCACAGCCGAGCCGCCAAGCAGCCAACCAGAGAGTGCCTAGAGCATCTAGTGGCGCCCATATCGGCCACTCAGATGCCATGGCCACGGAACTCCACGCGCTTTGGCTTCGTATTCGACGTATACCATGCCTAGCTCGTTG